GATAATCACAATAATGATAATGATAAAGATGATAATGATGATAATTCTAATAGTGATAATTAGAGTAATAACGATAATAATAAATAATGATAACAATAGGGTAATGATAATATTCATAGTAATGATAATAATGATAGTGATAATATATATAATGTCAATAACTATAACAATAATAATGATAATAATAATCAAAATAATAATATTCATTACAACAATGATAATAAAAGTTATAACAGTGATAATAATGATAACAAAAATAGCAATACTAATTAGAGGAATAATGATGATGATAATGATATCAATAATAATGATAATGATAATGATGATAATAATTATGTGATAGTAATGATAATGACAATAATTATATGACAATGATAATGATAATAACAACAATGATAATGATGATAATGATAAGAATAATACTGATAATAGTGATGATAATCATAATGATAATAATAATGATAATACTACTATTAATAATAACAGTAATAATAATGATAAAGATAATCATGATAATAATGATAAAGATGATAATGATAATATTGATATAACAACAATAATAATGTTGATAATAATCACAGTAATAATACAAATTATAATATATATGATGTTTATAACCATAACAATGATAAAAATGATAATGATAATCACAATGATAATGATGATTGCAATAATAATAATGATAGTAATAACAGTCATAATAATGAAAGTAATAATAAAAATACCAATAATAATAATAATAGCATTACTAGAGACCACCATAAATGAATATCTATTCCTAATACTTCATATGTAATTTTAATGATAAAATAAATGATAAGAATAATACCAATTGCTAAATAACAGGCTTCTACCACTATTCTTACTCATAGGCCGTACTGTATGACCTCGCTACCCCGCAGGAGAGGAACTGAAGGGCAGACTACGATAAAACGGCAAGGGTCCTGTTATTATATGTTACCAACTTTTTTTCTCTCACTTAGAATACGTATTTATTATTATTATTATTTTTTTTGGGGGGGGGGTCAGAAGGATATTAGGCAAGGGTGGTTTGGTGGGATTTATCATATATGGGAAGGCTTTTGCTCAATCTACTGTGATTATAATTGTAATGGTGCCAATAATGGAAATCATAAAAAGACAAAATGTATTTATTAGGATAATGTCATCAGTAAGAATAGATATAAAAATATTTTGATAGTATTGTCGTATTAATACTAATGATTGTAATAAAATGTATAATGATAATGATCATAAGTAAGTCAATAACATCAGAAATGGTAATGGCAGTAACAACAATTACAGCAGCAAGAATAACAGTGAAAATAAGATTAGTGATGGTAATAACAATAATGGTAGTAATGAAAACAACACTAACGATAATGATAATAATGACAATAATGATAATGATGATGGTAATAATGATAATCATAACAATGATAATAATAATAATTATTACAATAGTAATAATGATGATCATAAAAGTAATATCAATGATGGGAAATTTATATGAACAATGGTGATAATAATAATGATGATAATAATAATGATAATGATAGCGAAAATGATAATGATAACAAAGATGATATCAACATTATTATTGATTATAATAATGATAATGATAATGGTAATAATACCAATGGTAATTGATGCTATCAATGATGAAAATGGTAATTGCAGTGATAATATAAATAATAATGATACTGATAATGGTCTTGATCATAACAGTGATTATAGTGATAATAATCTCATTACTACTTTTACTACTACCACCACCTACGATGATGATAATGATGATGACAAAAATGATAATGGCTATGGTAATTGTAATAATGATAATGGCAATAATAATCAATAACAGTTATTATTATTAACAATGATGATAGCGATGTTGATTTTAGAATTATAACATTAATAATGATAGGGATGATAAATAAATAGCAAAAAGCAATTGTATTATTATTATTAGTAGTAGTGAATATAAAATAATGATGATAATAACAATAACGAAAATTGTAATGAAAATAATAATCGTTATCGTCATTATTATTATCAGCATTGCCATTATGTTGTTTTTAATGATAATGATGATGACAATAATGATAATTGTGATGATCCTAATGGTAACAAAAATGATACTGATACTGATAATGATGATATAATTGTGATGATGATAATGATCATATTAATGATGATAATGATAATGATAATAATGATAGTAATAATAAACAACAGTAATGATAATCATAACAAATATGATGGTAATGATAATAACACTAATGAAGATAATGATGATGATGATAATGATATTGATAATGAAAGGAATAACGATAATGATCATGATAATAATAATAATAATTTTGACTATAATGATAATGATAATGATAATAAGAGTAATAACAATGATAAGGCTAATGAAAACAATTTTGATAATGATAATGATAAGAATAATGATAATAGTAATAGCGATGAGGATAAGAATGACTATAATGATAATAGT